CAGAAAGGGCTTTGGATGGGCCTCCTTTAAAAATGATGGTTTAGGGATTGGGAATGTTAACAAATAACTGCTTTAATTTCTGATCTAACTCAGCATTTCATGAAATGTGGCTCCAAGTACATTGTGCATGCTGGATTCTGCTAAACCAGAGATTACAAACTTACATCTCAACCTTTAAGAACAACTCTATCAAGTTAACAGGATTGTCAGCTTCAGCAAATCAAAAACACATGAAACTCAGTTACATTTGGATCTCAGTCAGCATTTTTTTAGTGTAATAATGTCCGATGGACTATTTGGGGTGTCTTTAGGCTTTAAAAACCAATTTTTTTCATCTGAAATTTAAATTTAACTATAAGCCTTCCATCTGGCTACCCTATAAAAATGCAAATAAACAATCTCATCAGGACAACTTTGAAACATTTGCTTATCAAGTATTGGTAATGCAATTGGTATGCGTTTTCTGTGTTGTACTGGGATTCAAATAGAGCCAAACATTAGGTTTTAATTTCTTTCTTCAAGAATGCAACTTAAAAGAAAAAAATTGTTAGTGTTTTTTAATTACAAGATCTAACAAAATATGTGTCCTTTGGTGAATATTAGATTCTTTTTTAAATTTATTTTTATTTATTTTTGGCAGGCATGTGTGTACCTGTGTGTGCACACACATGCACAGTGAGAAAAAGAGCATTTGCTGGTTCATTCCTTAAATTCCTACAAAGCCAGGTGCTGGAGCTCTGTTCGGATTTTGTATTTGTTCATACATGGATGGCAAGGATTCGAGTATTTGAACCATCACCTTCTACTCCCAGAGCATACATTAGTGGGAAGCTGGAACCAGGAGTGGAGTCTTTATTGGAATTCAGGCATTCTGATATGGGGTCCAGGTATCCTGGACATATGCTAACTGTTGCAGTAAATACTTCCCTCTAGTCTTGAATTTTTAAGATCATTGTTAACTCTTGGGTACAAATTCAAATTGCTGAGGGTAGCTTTATTACCACTTCTAATCATTGGTGTTATTAGAAGGTACGCATTTTGCATCTGATCTCAAAATACATCATGCCTCTCTGGGTGAGTATTGAATATTCAGATCTGTTGTGAAAAATGTGTTGGTTGGTTTGCTTGGGATACCACTTGTTAGAGAGGCCTTCATTACTGTGAAGCAAAAACAGTAGGACCAACTATTTTAAGAACAGCTCTTGATGGACCTTGTGCTAATACCCTGTGTTAATCAGTGAAGTCCAGCTGCAGTTGAATGCCTCTGGCTCCCACAAACATGAGTGGCTGTCAGTGATTCGTGACCTGGATGCATATTAGGAAACTTTAAGAGATCTTAAGTTTTCTTGTTACTACATCTTACACTTTTGTATTTGTGACTAAGTTGAGATCTTAGTTATAAGTACATTTGAAAGCATATCCAGATTGTTGTAATGAGCAGTGTAACTTGGGGATCAATGAGCCACATGAATCATGCTGAATAGGTCCTTGATCAAGTACCCTCTTCTCATCCTCCCTCTAGTCCTCTATTTAGCTTTATTGGCTACATGAACAAATAGCTCACCATGCACATGGTTGGCACTCACCAATCCACAGATTTCCTATCCATAGCTTCAATTAACCAGGACTGGAAAATGAATCTGTACTAAAATGTAAAGACATTTTCTTATAATTATTCTCAGAACAATTCAGTATAGCAGCTGTTTATGTGGCATTTGCATTGCATTATGTATTATAAATCATCTAGAAAGATTTAAAGTACAGTTAGCCCTTTCTGTTCTCAGATTCCTCACCTGTGGACTCAACCAACCCAGGATTGGAAGTATTCAGAAAAAAGAAATTTTGTATATATTCAACATGTCCACACTTTTCCTTATCTTGAATTGCTAAACCAGAAGCCATAGCTACTATTTACATAGTATGTATATTCTATGAGGTATTATTAGTAATCCAGAAATGTTTAGTGTGTATGGCAAGGTGTGTGTGGGTTACAAGCAAGTACTTTTCTGTGCTATATAAGGAACTTGAGCACCAACTGATTTTGGTGTGGGGGTGTGTGACCAGAAACCAAATCCTACAAACATGAAAGTATGACTACCTAGACTGAATACTACATGCCAATTTCTACCACAATTTACTATAAATAATATACCTTTGACCATATATGAATGTGAAAATTTAGGTTAAATGTACAAAATTGTTAGAATTTGTCAATGAATTTGTGACTCAGCTGGAGTGGGCTGGTATATCAAAAGAGAACAAGCAGGTGTGAGAACAGGGCATGCAGCAGCAGCTCATCCATGAGGAGCTTCACTTCCGTTCCTGGTTCATAGATGTCCCCTGACACCACCGGATTTTCCCAGAGCATTCCTTGTAATTTAATTTTTGTCAACAAAATGAAAATAGTTAAATTTATGAAAATATAACTTACTTTATTCCCTGAGAATCAATTTATGAATCTGAGAAGGGGGGAAGATGTGCTTGCTATGGTGTTTAGCAAATATTGTCCTGCTTGTAGTGGTTAAGTGAGCTTCCTTATTTAAATCTGAGAGAAAAGCAGCCAATTTTAATATTTTAAATGTGACAAGCGAGCAACACAATCTGATTTGTTTGTTTTACCTCCTCTGTGGAAGGTGATAATAACTACCACCCTGGTGCTAATATTCCTTTGAAAACTTCCTGGGCAATAAATAGAAGAGAGGAATATTAATTACTTTTTGGCTCAGAGTTGGTGTACTGTTGGCCTTCACAGCTGTGATATCATTTTTGTGGTCCTCTGTGATTTATGGCTGGGCCCACCTGCCACTAGTTCTTCTTTCATCTTTCCCTTCGACTTCCTTTGGCCTAAGATTGGCTCCGCTGAGCTCAGAGACCCGGGCAGTGGTCACAGCATTACTAAAACTACACAGAAGCTGCGGAAGGCTCGAATGCTGCCTGGTTGCATAATTCTTCTAACTATCCGCTTGTGTGGAATTGTGAAACGTTTTGAGCCTCTCAGAAGGAAGACGCTATGTAAACATCAGGTATTTATTAATAGATGTTCAATTCTGTTCATCACTAGCTATTAAAAACATGGAAAGCATCAGAAGAACTGTGAGTCGTTTCTTCAGACTTGAAACCTGTGTTTTAAGTTAGTGGCTTTCCATATGGTACCATATCCCAGCAGTATTTTCTAGAAAACCATAAGGTTTGGTTCTTTGTACAGGTGATATTTAACTGTAATGGTTAGTCTTTCTATTTTAAAAACGCTTTTGTTTGGATCAGATTTACTACAAAGTCTGTTGATACAGCATTTCGAAATTGAATTCTTTTCATATAAAATTATTTGGGTAAAAAGAGGGCACTCTTTGATTTACATATGGCTAACACAATTTGTTTTCTAAACAAAAGACAAAAAGCACTCTGCATTGCTGGATTTTATTATGGAGGGAAAAAAGAAAACTAAAGCTCAAATCTAACTAGTACCAATATATTTCAGTTTTACTATGAGTTAGCACTTGTATTTCTCTTCTGTGTTAATATTGCTGCTGCTGTCTCCAACTCCTGAACAGCAGACATGAACAGTGAACAAAGTTTCCCTTTTTAAAAATCAAAGAAAATTTGTGTAGTCTGTTAAACTTTAGATTGATGTAGAATCACTTTCAATTGATGTATGAACTAAGATCCTATGATTTTTTTCACTTTTGGGGTTGAAATAAGTGTGTTTATGAAGTTAAAAGTTTATGTTTCTAAAATATCCTTGAAATATTAACATTCAAATGACAAATGGAGACTCAAGAAACTGTACAAGTATTGCTGTTTATAATGTTAGAGTTATACGCATAACATCTTTTACAGAAAAATTCACAATATTTGCTTACATAAGAAATCATGGCCATTTCAATGAAGAAACTATAGTAAGGATGTTCTTTGAAAGCTTCATTCCTTAAAAAATCCTCCTGTGATACACACAGAAGATAGATTAACTTCTGTCAGTTCACACAGACTGAATTTAAGGAAGGCAGGATGCTGGCTGGCCACTTGGCTGACTGGGGGTCAGATAGTTACTGTGCTTCATACGGTGCTTCTGTTAGGGTTGAGGTGTTCTACAAGGTTTGCTTTGAGTGCCACTTGCTTATAACTTATGAGTTCACAAAGCATGTATGTTCATACTCATTTAAAAATAGAAATATGCCCAACATCATCAGGGTATTACAAGTGGGGAAGACAAGCACTAAATACATTGCAGTTATGATTCTCTGCTAAAGAGGGACATCTTAAGGCTACATCATCACTGAATCACAGTACTTACTGCTGTTTTTCTGGAGAAAATCCTGCATCACTTTGCCCTGTATGACGTGCCAGACGCATTTTCCAGTCCTGGTTAATTGAAGCTATGGATAGGAAATCTGTGGATTTCTTCTTCGTTTGATTTTATATCCCTGTCTAAAACATGATCATGTGACTCATTCTCTTCCCTCTCCTCCCCTGCTTTTCCACTCTTCTCCTCCCTCTCCACTGCCTCCCATGAATCCTAGTTATATTCTTTTTTATCAGTCTGTGTTTCAGTTTGTTAGTCATTGTGGGCGATACATATTTCTGTGGTCACTGTTATAGTATTGGTATGTCTGAGCTGCCTAACGTTGCTTCCCTTTGCCGTTTAGTCAATCTTGCGTTTTTACTACCTCTCAGCTCTTCAATTAGATTGCTTCCCTGGCATAAATATTCTCAGTTGTTTAACCTTTGAAGCTTTCATGGTAGCAGGAAGAAAGGAAAGGGGGCAATTGTCACTATCCAATGAAATGGACTGTGTCCTGAAAATGCGGAAACCAGAAGCCCTTTGCTTCGCTTCCAGTAAGGCCCTTTTATCCTAGCCACTAACAAAATAAGTCTCTACATTCATAGACAATGCAGAGTTTGCGTGCTTTTATTTATGTTGTCCGTGGGAAATGTGCACTAGCACCTGCTTGGGCTGTGAAGGTAACTTCTGTTCTTGTATTTTTCTGATTTCTGAACTTCAGGAGAAGGTAAAGCTTGATGCTGAAAGGGAAAAACTAGAGAGGCTTCAGGAGCTTTACTCCGAGCAGAAGACCCAGCTGGACAATTGTCCTGAGTCCATGAGGGAGCAGTTACAGCAACAACTGAAGAGGGTCAGTAGCAACAGGAATGCAACAGTTCTTTTGTTCTTTTTTGTTTATTATCTCTTTCAGTTAAGTGCCACTTGCTTATGACTTATGAGTTCACAAAGCATAAATGTTCATAATCATTTTAAAATAGAAATATGCATGCCAACAGTGTATGTTATCTTAAGCTAATCGGTTAACAAATCCCTTGCTAGAATGTTTTATCAAATCTATAATGCAAAAAAAAATTTCTGGAATCATGTTCTTTGTAACAAGAGAGTATTTCCTGACTTGTAACCAACAGCAAGGTTGTAGCTTTTAAATCAGCTGATGAGTTTTTTGTTGTTGTTGTTTTTTTTTTTTTTTTGCACTCTCTGCACTGTGTGGACTATTTGCTCTGAATTTTTCTTCTTAGTTTGATTTTATAACCTTGTCCAAAAAATGATCATGTGACTCATTGTTTTGTTTTTATTTTTCATTCTGCTGCTTAGTGACATTGAACTAATTGTTAGCAGGATTGCAACATTACACAGCATTGCTAAAAGCCTCAGCATCTCTTAGGAGCTTCAACATTTTACAGTTAATGTAGCATTATATTCCATCTCCACTTTAGCAGAGCACTGTCCTGCCTGTAACTGCAACCGTGTTTAACACAGCCGTGTTTGTTATCTTCAGAAAATGAGACTTCCTAAGTGGGTAGTTTTACAAATGCTGGCAGGGTCATTTATATTTGATGACTCCTTCCCAAGTGGCTGTGGAGCATCAGACAGCAGCTCCAGAACTGAAGCCCAGGTCTCAGGAAGCAGTCACACAATAGTAACTTGGCCTAAGTGAGTAGCAATCATAATTCCGCAAGAGTACGGAAAAAAAGCCCGTTTTTAAGTGTTCTTTGTTATGTCTGTAACTTCTTTGGAATTAGCAGGTCAAACTAATCAGTGAAGATAACATACCCTTGAAAATTTTTAACATGACATTTAAGATAAAAATTGTTGATATTTCTGAGAGCATCTTTTGGTAAAAGCTAGTTAACTAAGTGTTTAGAGGTTGGAAGCATGTTAATAAGGAGTGTCCAGTGTAGCTTTGTTAAGTGAAAGTTAACAGTTTTAATATCTGTCTTTACAACATTGTCTCAAGAAAGTTAACAGTAATCCTTCCCTTTACTATTTTGTTATGTCAATCTGAAATTGCAGTGTAAAATATGAAAAGTGTCACATTCTGGAAATTGTGTGACTAAAAAATTGAAAAAAGACTAGTATTTGAAAAATTGGTTCAGTTTGTAATGTATGCCCATGCCTGTTCATGAAAGTGATGGAAAATTCAATTTTATATTTGTTTACTGTTTTTCCACTTCCTTTACTGTTAAGATTTTACAGCTATTAGAAGTTTTTATTGAAAATCAGCAACATGGTTATATATTTTCCTCTTTCTTTCTAGTAGTCGTCTTTTCCGTGTTCAGATCTACATTCTGAAGGATGAATTGTAGATTTATATTTGTCCTTAGGGTTTTGCCTAGGAAGGAGGAAAGGAAATAATGCAGTCTGTTCCATTAACTGAAGGCAAACTCCATCCTCTTTGTAAGCCAAGAGTAAAATTCTTCCCGAAGAACCACTCTCCTTAGAGGAGATAATTGGCTGGTGGTAGCTTCTGTTCAATTGCTTCAGGAGGTCTATTGATTCTGTTTTCCAGCAATAATGAGCTGCTCAGCTCTTCTCCCAATCCTTTGGCTTAGTCAAAATTGGCTTATTTCCTGTGACCATTCATACCAGGAACTCCCTGTGTTATCACAACTTACTTCCCTTTAGGCTTGAAGCATTTCAGAGAACTGCTGAAATCACAAAAATTGCCTTAAGGCATTTAAACTACATTCAAAAAGGTTGATTTTTCTCCAACTTCATTAACTGGCAAGTCTCACAAAATAAAAATAAATCAATCATATAAAACCTATTTTATTCAACTGTATGCCGCTTTGAATACTTAAGCTAAAATTGTAGAATGATGCTGGTACATACAATATCTTGGACTTATGGCTGGGCTTTTTATCCCTAAAGTTTTTATTTCAAATCAAAGTATAGTGTTAATCTGCTGTAAATTTCATGGTTGTTATTGGTATGCAGTTGATATGAGTCATTTGCCAGGGTAAGAGCCAGTGTTAAGCAGGGGAGACAGACACCTGGCTGATAGTGTTTTCTTGTGCTTAAAAAAAAAAAAGATTTATTTATGTTTATTGGAAAGGCAGATCAGATTTACAGAAGGAAAGGAAAGGGAGAAATACCTTTCATCTACGGATTCATTCCCCAAATGACCACAACAGCCAGAGCTGAATAGATCTGAAGCCAGGAGTTTCCTCTGGGTCTCCCCCTTAGGTGCAGGGTCCCAAGGCTGTGGGCCGTGCTCTACTGCTTACCCAGGTCACAAGCAGGGAGCTGGAAGGGAAGTGGACCAATCAAGATAAGAACTGGTGCCAATATGCGATGTAGGCACTTGCAGGTAGTTTAGCCAATTGAGCCATCATGCTGGCCCCTTTTTGTGCTTTTGATGAGTAGTCAACCAAGTGGTTGATTTTGATTTAAAAAAAAAAAAAAAGATCTTTCCACTCTGATACCTACTACAATTAAGAAACTTTCTATTGTTGCGGAGTGCGAGAGAGATCACACTGGACCCAAGTGCAGGATGTTAGGAGCCTTTACTCCCGAAGCTGGGTGACAGCAGCTACACTACACTCCAGGAACCACTGCACTGAGCCACCAAGTTCTTGTCCTCCAATCCAATTGAGAGCCACGCAGTACAAAGAAAGCTTGCATGTGGAGGAGGCAGGAAGGGAGTTGGAACAGCCCAGAGTTTTCCTGTAGTTCACCTAATATAGTACAATGAGAGGCAGAAAGGGCCAGGTGCACTGAGCCTCTTGAGTAATTTCCGTTCTCTCAGTTGTTCTGAATCATGCTGGAGGTGCGGGGTTCATTTTTCGAACCTTCAATTCACTTGAATGATACAAGATGAGGTAGGAAGAGCTGGGTGTAGAAACTCCGTTTCTGTGCCCTGTCCACTGTCAGTTAACCTGGTGCAAGCCATTAATGGCGGCTCCCCATTACACAATGATTTGGTCTGATGTCGATGTACGCTTTATTATTGAAAAGTAATCCAAACTCTGTGGGTCTCTGTATCTTCATACAAAAAATGAGGCACTTCTGCGGGTCGATTTCTTTTGCCTTTGTCAATATCCTCCCCCTAAAAAAATGCAATTTACCTACAGAGCATAAGATGAAAAAGGATAATACACTCTGAGATCCATTTAAATTTGCTTCTAGAGTTAACCCAGAATTGTCATTAGCTTATTTCTATAAATACTCCTTTCTGTATTTAAATTCTTTCTGTTCCTCCATCAAGCAAAACTAACTAAGTAAATCCACCAAACACAAAGTACTGAATATAAACTTCTTCCTCATAAATGATCAGAAAGAATTATTGGAAAGACAAAGGAAATTATATTGAATTTCCCTTAGAGCAGCTGTGTATTTCCTTTCGAGCTTGCCAGCAGGTATACAAAGAAAACTTCTCTTAGTAAATGAGGTTTAGTTGAAATTTTCATTCAACTAGGCATGTACTTGATTTTGAGCTTCCTATATATGTATATAGTATTCTGTGCTCAGTTAAGCTCCTTCTGGTCCTAAATAGCACTCCCTGAGATTTTAATCTTATCTGATGTCTTTCAAAAGTTTTTATTCCCACTGCAAGTGCTTTTTTCCCCTGAGTTTAAACTTATGTACATACATTTTCTGGTCTAGAAAACTTGGCCTAATTATGAAACCAGCAGAATTTGGGTGCTGATCTAGACTTAACTTATGATTTTCCTACCTAGTGTACAATTATGTTCATGCCGTTGTTTAAGTGTTTACTACAAATGAAACAGTCTGTGACCATCACACATGTCAGGTATCAGCTAGATGTAGGGTGAGTGACTGAGTGGCATGATGTTTGTATGCTTGTTAATTTGTACATATTGAAGATTGCTTATAAGTGAAAAAAGTTTATTACATTTTTATCCCAGTGATCTTTTAGCCATAAACCAAACTTAACTGAAAGACTTTAAAACTGATTATGTGTTGCCTCAAGAGTGAATGTATCAGCTGATGTGCTGTTTTAAAACTACAAATAGTTTTGTTCAGGATATAATGCTGAACTTGTCTTGGTATTTTGATTGCTTCAGTTTATCTAGAAATTAGAATTATAATGTCTGATAAATTGAAATAGCAATCAAAAACTTAAAATCAAGATCATATTCTTTGTGGTCAAAAAAATACGTGAGGGAGTTATATGTCCTTTGGAATATCATTTCTGAATTGTTTTTTCCTGCCCTTGAGGTTTGAGAATGTACAGTCTGTTTACAGTTTGTTACTATGGTGTTGAGTAAAGTTACAGGACAGCTAATACACCTGCTATGAATTATCTCTATAATAAAATTAATTGAAGAAGATATATCCTGTTTGATTACCATTTATATGAGGGAGCTAATGGTGTAATGGTGATATAAACTAGTTTATCATAGAATTATTTATCCAGCAGTTTTTTAGAATTTGTTTGAACATAAGAGAAACCATACCTTGCTAGTTTTCCTTTGTTGAACTATAGGACACATTAAATCAGTTGTGTCTTCGTTTTGGTCATGGATTATTTGTGAATTATTTATTTTTTAAAAAACTACATATATTTATAATTTCTAAAGGTACAAAATTGAAGGAATTTTAAAAATAAAAATGGAGGCTCATTTACACCAATGCCTCCACGAATGTGAATGCATTAGTAATACCTACCTTAAAATGTCTTCTTTTTGGAGAATACTTACTTTAGACCATCTGATTTTCAAGGTGTCTGATTTTCTGTAAATTTACCCAGGTTTATTCTTAAAGTAGTAATCCTTAACCTTTTAAGTCACCCTTTGTAGCTAATGAGAGATTTGGTTCTATTCATTCCAGCAAAATGGCTTAAAATAATCTTTAGTTTGCAGATGTCTTGGTTATTTATTGTTTGTTGTGGGAATTCACTAAGCAGTTTAAAGCTACCTAGTAAATTTAAATCGGGAATCTGTCTGAAGCTGGTAGTGAAATAAATGCTGCCCACCCCTGCTATTTCACTCTGTCACTGCTGTAAGGATTAAACAAAGGATTAACATGCTCTTACCCTTTCAGTTTTTTATTGGAAAGTTATCTTGGACAGATTGCTTTCAGGCAGGCTGCAACCTTCCTGGTGTGTCTTGTTTTCATTCCCTTTTCTGCGAAGGATGCGGACCTGCTGGATGTTGAAAGCAAGCACTTTGAAGATTTGGAATTCCAGCAGCTTGAGCATGAAAGCCGACTGGATGAGGAAAAGGAGAACCTGACCCAACAGCTCCTGCGTGAAGTGGCTGAGTATCAACGCAACATTGTTACTAGGAAGGTATATTTTAAAAAATTGAGATATACTTGTCACTAACAGAGCCATGCATGAGTGTGACTACATATATTTATGTTAGAATGTTTTTCTCTGCTTGATTGCATGTCACATTTTGCACATCTTGGAGCTGCCATATGTACAGCAAATAATGTGCTGAGCTGGCTAAATTGAGCTTGTTACAGTCATTGTTATAAATATTGTAGATGTAATTATGGATAATATCTCATTTTTTAAAAATTGATTTGCCAAGGTATGGACAACGAGGGATGTAGATTATTTGTTTTAAAGCAGGTCCTTTTGCAGTCATAATAAGGAGATTCAGAATGATTCTGTGAGCAGTCCATTTAGGAATTGTCTTTATTTTCATTGTTCCACAATTCTCAGACTTTCATGATCACAAAACAGCCCAGCAGTTCCAGAAAGAATATTACGGACTTCATTCAAACCATAGTACCTAGATGTCTAGACCAGAGCTCAGCTCTTATGCCACAATTTAGAATCACACTCAAGGGCTCTGTACTTAACTAATAAAGCTGAGTAAAAAGAGGACTTAATGGAAGCGATTTCTTGAGCTGTCAGTTAAGTAATAAATTCCATTGTTAATTTTACCATATCTCCTGAGATGATGTAAAAACTTCACTGATAGTTTGGTTTCCTGACCCAACAGCTCCTGCATAAAGTGGGGTTGTTCAGGAAGAGTTTAAATCACATGAACTGCATTGGCCTTAAGTAAAGTGTTGAGCTCAATAGGTCGAAGACGCTGCTTCATAGTCTCTGGATAAGAATCCCTACTCATCATCAGTAATAATGTGGTCGCTGTTGCTCCATTTGTGACAACTCTTTCTTTTCCAGGACAGACTAGCGAATCTGTGAAGATTTAATGTGCATTCTCTTTTGATCACTTTTTTCCCCCAGGAAAAAATTTCTGCATTGAAAAAGCAGGCCAATCATATTGTCCAGCAGGCTCAGAGGGAGCAAGATCATTTTGTGAAAGAAAAGAATAATTTAATAATGATGCTGCAAAGAGTAAGTATTTCCTTTTCAGCGCTGGCTGCAATGAAACCCAACTTCCAACTTGGGGAAAACTGTCTTCCTCTGTTAATAGTGAATGCCTTTAGGATATAGTGAACATTCTCATATACATTTTTATATAATCTTTCACATTAACTAACTGATTCTGTGTGAAAAATTGCAACTGAGAAAATAAGCAAATGTTTTTTCCTGTTTTATCAACACTATGAAAACTGGAAAATTTCCTATTTCTCTCTTAAAAATTTTTTATTTTATTTTTATTGGAAAGGCAGATATACAGAGAGGAGGAGAGACAGAGATCTTCCATCTGTTGATTCACTCCCCAAACGGCCGCAACAGAGCTGAGCCAATCTGAAGCTAGGAACCTGGAGCCTCTTCTGGGTCTCCCACTCTGGTGCAGGGTCCCAAGGCTTTGGGCAGTCCTCTCTGCTTTCCTAGGCCAGGAGCAGGGAGTTGGATGGGAAGGGGCTTCTGGGATGCAAACTGAGATATGGCATCCTGGCATGTGCAAGGCGAGGACTTCAGCCACTAGGCTGTCATGCCGGAGCCCTATTTATCTCTTTTAAAAATTGTATTTTTCCACTATCTAGCATACAATATCAGTTTCAAGTGACATTAACTAAAATGGTGTTTTTACTGCTTTAGTGTTACTCATCTGTCCCAGACTTAACATGACTTTAGGTCAGAGGTTCCTTTAGTCAAAAACCCCACAGCAAACAAACAAAAATCTGTATTGTAACTTTGTGGCACGTCCCCTAGTGTAACTTAGTAATGATGGAGCTTATCTCAGATCTGAGCTCTGCATACAGGCTGCTGCTTTGAGTGTGTTACTGGGCATCCTGAAAATACCCAGTGGATCCCGGTGGTGGGGGGTGGGGGTGTGGGCTGGTAGCGGGGGCAGGGGAAAGGATGGATCCAGAATAAAATACTGAGAAATGAGGCTGTACTGTGACCTACCCAGAAGAAATGAGTGTTTCCTTCTAGCTATTTTTACGTCAAGAAAAGGGAGGAACTGTCTGTCTTAGTCTGTTTTCTCAGTCTGTTGCTATAACTGCAGGCTGTGGACTGGATAATTTTTAATGAAGGTTTATTCAGCCAATCGGTCTGAAAGGCTGGGAGGTCCAAGGTTAAGAGGCTGCATCTGGTGTTGGATGCTTTCCTGCTGCTGGGGACTCTCCCCAGAGCCTGATGTGGCATAGGGCATCACGTGGCAAGAGCAATGCTTCCAAGAGACAGAACCAAACTGGCTTTTGTAACAGACTCACTTTCAGGATAACTGGTTAATGCAAGAGTGGATGAATGCATCCTTAAAAGCTCTGTCCCTGTGCTTTAATCACTCCCTAAAGATCCCACCTTGTCTCACCTCTTAGCTCCTCATGGTTCTATTTCAACATGGATTTTGGTAGAGGCTTTCAAACCATTCCAAGTCATTTACTTGGAATTATGAGTCCACTTGAGATGCCTCCGTAGCCTGCATAAATCTCTGATTGCCTCTTTTTCATTGCTAGTTGTCTGTACAGGGACGTGTTTTTCATCCCTCTTCTCTGCTATAATATGAACAATGTTGTCATTTGTCTCTCCACTACCATTTTATTCTTTGCACAGATATTCAAAAGCACATCTTAAATTAGATCATGTAATATATGATACGTAAATAGTTTTTAAAATCTATTTTTGTGAAGTTGTTAGATTTTTAAAAAGAAGTGCGGACATAGATGCAATAGTTCTTGCACTAAAAACATTTAAAACCATGTATCTATGGTAAAATTTTTGTAAGTACTAAGAATTTTATTTTCCCAAATTGTTCTATAGATCTGTTTCAATCTCCCTGAAAATTCTATTTTAAGAAAGTGAAGAGTTAATGCTAGATTTCAGTTGATTCTCATGTTTCTCAAGATGCCCAATTGCCAAAACTTGTTTTTAACCCCTGAATTTGTAGCCATGTTGTCTCGTGGCCATTCCAAGACATTAAAGTCACCATTCTCTGCTTACAATGGATAAGGCAAAAACCTGTCTTGATAGTTCAACAATTATTCCTCATATGTCCCTGTTACGGCTTTTACATGCCTTGCTTTCACATTTAAAAGCCTTTGTTGATGCTTTTTCTGTTTAAAATGTAGCCCATGCACAATGCTAATGTGCTGTCTAATGTTGTTAAGTGCAAGAAAGCTGTCATATTGGTGGAGAAAATTCATGTGTCAGCTATTAATAAACCTCATTCAGGTTGTGGACTATCAGTTCAATGTTAATCAATAATGTATATTAAATTAGGTGTGTGTAAATGGACACTCATAAAGCAAAGTAGTGTATTAGTTGGCAGAAATATTGTGGTCAGAGGCTCACAGGGACACCACCCTGTATTTCTCATTAGAACGTTGATTGACTATTCACTAATTCAGGGCCTGTGGCACTGTTATAAAGCATAACAACCACAAATAATGATAGGTCAGTGGAATATTAAAAGATGGTTGAACCTACAGAGTGAAAATCGACTTACACAAGGAGAACATAGTTGGAACATTTATGCTCTGATACCTGGGTTTGCTGTAAAGCTATGTATTTGGGAGAGTGTTTTCCTAGCATATAAATATTTTGATCAGGGCAACTGACCCACGAGTCCAGAGTAGACATAAATAGCTATTATCTATTAATTTTTTCAAGATTTACTTATTTTTATTGGAGAGTCAGATCACAAAAAGCAAGTTTTCAGAAAAAAAAAAATAACTCGTAGTGTTTAAGGTAACCTTTCCCATAACAATAACCAAAAAAAAACCCACCCAACTAGGAACAACCTAAGTAACATTAGCAGGAGAATAGATGAAAAAAAATCAAAAAGAAGTGACCTACTGGTGCAGGTAGCATCATGAAGGCACAAAAGAGCACATATTGTGCTACGCCATTTGAATGAAGTTCAAGGACAGGCAAAACTACATATAAATCTGTAAAAATCAGAATTGTGTTTCCCAGTAGGAGTGGGGATTGACTGACGGGGGTCATCAGGAAATATCTAAAGGGATAAAAATGCTTTTAATGCTCTCTGTCGTGATTGGGATATGTTCCATTGGTTAGGAGTCACTAAATTGTCTACTTAAAGGCTGTGCATGTCATTGGATGTGAACTATACCATGTTGAAGTAAAAAAAAAAAAGGGACCCATAAGTACTTTTCCTGAAGGTTCTTTGTGAAATGGGTCATAGACCCAAACATAATGGCTGACAGCATATAAAGTTTCCAGAAGGCACCTCGCTGTAGGTTACTCAGGAAGATAAAATCATTGACTTCAGAAGATCTTCAAAATGTGAACAGCTAATAGGGTCTCTGAGCACTTTCGTTTTCATTTTTCCATCTACAACAGCTTTTTAAAAACATATCACTGCAAAATTTGAGTGAGAAGTTATGTAGTGAAATATGTTTGAAAATAGCTTAGGCATCACATCAGCCCTTAGAAGATGTGATTTTCAGCACGCAGTTGGAATTACGTGGGAAGTATATGGGATTGAGATTTTGTCTCTAATGCAAAGCCACTGTTTCTCAGTTGACTACAAGCTCAGTATATGTTATGTTCCCTCAGGAAAAAGAGAATCTTTGCAATTTGGAAAAGAAATACTCCAGCCTCTCTGGAGGGAAAGGATTCCCTGTTAACCCCAATACTCTAAAGGAGGTAAGTTTTGATTGTGCATGTGTACACATTTCACCTTCCCTGACTAATGGAATTGCCCTAAATGACTGTGTACACACTCCATTCTTTGATGGATTTCATGCCTTTCATTTATACTTTGAAAATCACAGGGAATATCTCTGGCTAATGCAGAGATTGTGTGTGTGTGTGTGTGTGTCTGTGTGTGAAATTTGCTTGGCATTAATATTGTAGATTAACTTGGAATTTCAAAACAAACTATGATCCAGCTCAAAATGAGTTTAATGTTCCTCTGTTCTTCCTGTGTCTCCTTTTCCACGCCTTGTCTTTTCCTTTACTTCCTTTTGAGTTTTATATGAAAAAGTCTCCAAACATTGGGAAAAAGTAGTCTAGTTCTTTTCTTTTCTCTATTTTTCTTCTCCCAATGCAGAACTATTTTTCCCTGAAGTGAAAACTCCTATTTACATTGAATTGCATGTAGTCTTCATCCTTAGCATCAGTCTTTCCTCAGTTCCCATAACCACTCTTCCTCAAATATCCTCATTATATAATGAGTTTCATTCGTACACTAGTGAATTTGGAAACTTATATCTCTGATTTAGAAAAAAAAAGTATGTTTCCTTACATTTAGATTTCTTTAAAGCTAAGAGTAAATCTAGTTTCTGTAAAAAAAAACTTTGCATAACAAATTCCCTTTTGCTTATAAATGATATTTCATAATATAAAGTACATTAAATGTATAAACATGTATTACTTTATATTATAAAATTATGGCAGAGACAGGAACTTTTACATAGAAAGTGTTTTTGTGTATAAATACAGGAAGTAAAATACTCATTATTATAATTGGTATGGCTAAAAGATTAGTCTAGAAACAGTTTGTGAGATATTTCCAGATTTATTATATCATTCAGTTTTATAGTTTCTCATCATTTCATGTGTGGCACTAGCAGTAGCAGGTTTAGCAAACAGAAGATGATTATGAATTCAGTGTAGTGGTATAGGGTAAAGTCAGCAGCACAGGTGGTGGCAAGTTTTCTGACTCATGTTGAAGATTCATGTTGAGTCATTGAAGAAAGGGTTTTGATCAGGATGTGACATTGTGTCACATTTGTTTGTTAAAGAACACTCTAAGCAGAGTGGTAAAAACTGGGTTGTAAAGAAGAAGAAGAAATGCAGGGAAATTAGTGTGGAGATATTTGTAGTAGTAAAGGCTAAAGAAGGTGTTGGCTTGAATAGAACAATGACAGAGAAAGTGTGAGGGGGAATAGCTGAGTTGGATCTCTTTTGGAGGTAGAGTGGACAATTCTTGCTGATAAATTGGATGTGCGAGTAAAGCGAATAAAAGAAGATGTCAGGAGTGACATCATTATTCAGAGTGCATGCTGAGATGGATGGCAAGTAGCTTCTACCAAGCAATAATAGATTTAAAGGGAAAGATTTTGAAATTTGATTCTGGGCAGACTGAATTTGAGGGGCTGGTGACTTCAGACCAAATTAGATAGACTCTAAGATCTCTTCATTTCCTATCAGAAAAATAATCTGTCCTTTTATATTCATTAGTTTCTTTTCCAGCAGAATTCTTGGTGTAGTAAAGCCACATTTCTTACTATTTTTATGTCTGCAATTTTGATTTATTTTTATTGGAAAGGCAGATCCAATTTACAGAGAGAAGGAGAGACAGAAAGGAAGATCATTCATGTGCTGGTTCACTCTCCAATTGGCCACAAAGGCCAGAGCGGAGCTGATCCTAAACCATGATCCAGAAACTTCTTTCAGGTCTCCCACATGAGCAAGGTCCCAAGGCATTGGATCATCCTCCAGTGCTTTCCCAGGCTACAAGCAGGGAGCTGGATGAGAAGTGAGCAGCTGGTACATGAACCGGCGCCCAGATATGATCCAGGTGCTTGCAAGGTGAGGACTAAGCCATTGCACTGGGCCCCGTGTCTGCAGTTCTTTTACTCACTGATTAGATGTATGTTTCCATTCACACAGACCTATGTATTTTTTTTCTCTTTCCTTCTTACTCTTTTTTTTTTTTTGGTTTGTTTTCTTGAGGAATGAAGAATTTATTACCTAAATCTTTAAAGAGCTCCTATGTTACACAAATAGTATACACTTTTGAAAGAGTTGATTGAGGCTAGTGTGATGGCTCCATTGGTTAATCCTCTATCTGCAAGCACCAGAGTCCAACCTGAACACCAGTTAATGTCTCAGCTATTCCACTTCCCATCCAGTTCCTTGCTTGTGGCCCAGAAAAGCAATGGAGGATGGCCCAAGCCTTGGAAACCTGCATCCACATGGGAGACCCTGAAGAAGATTCTGGCTTTTGGCTTCAGATCAGCTCAGCTTTAGCCATTGTGACCATCTGGGAGTGAACCAGGGGATGGAAAATCTTACTCTTTGTAGATTTGCCTTTCCAATAACAATGGATACATTTTTTATTTTTGTTATTATTTTTTACTGTACAGTTTTAGGGCTTCTTCCATTGTTTCCTTACTTATCTTCCCCTCCATCATTTTCCCCTGTATTACTGCAATAATCTAGTCCTTCATCTGCAGTCACAATGCCAACATTCTGTTGTTTACTTGTGTCATGACATAGTAGGAATTGGAAATTGAAGAAGATCTAGCATCAAATTGTCTTGGAATATTTAACAGTTTCACTAAGGGGTCTTTTGTTCAGGAGTAGAGATGCATACTGCAGCACTTCTTCATTTCCTAATACTCTAGTCTCCAAAAATGGATAAATTAAAGGAAAAAAGTTGATTACATTGTGTGCTATAACTCATATAAGAAATCAAATCCTGACCTCTTGAAACAATTCACTATTAAACTGAGTAGAAGGAAAACTCAAAGTGGCTCATATATTTCCAGATTCATTATCATTGGTAAAATAAAATAAAATTTCTCAGTCTCTTTGTCTTCCTTTAGTTTAACCTTATCAAACTATGTGATATGCTTCATCTAAGTGCATGATGTTGATGCATCCAGTTTATAAACAGTCAACGCTAGCTTTCTCCACTTTGTTGTAATTATAAGTAAATTATCAATAAAAGCCTTTATTTCCAGCCTGGGAATTTTGCATAATAATAGCCTGTCTTTTCCAGGAATCATTTTTTGTAAAAGATTGATGGGATAATGGAATAATCAAAATGTCAAATTGAATTCAATTTCATTTTAAAAAGAGATGTTTGTAACTTTTGTTCTTTTTGTTCATGCTACTCTCATAGCGTCCTGAAAATCGTGACTGTTCTGTATGCCTTCCATGAAAAAAATTATAAGTGCCTTTTCCACAAATAATAATTCAGTTTTGATGTATGAGTGTATTCTCTAAGCTGAGGCAAAAACAAGAATTGTTGATTTCAAAAGTAGCCAGAAATTCTATCCTGAGAGTAGAGTTGGGGATTGCAGAGGCTGCCTGGAATTCAAACCCCATCCGTTACACCACCAATAGAGCTGTGGGTGAGTGTACTGTGTGTTTGTGTGTGTGCACACAGGCGCACACTGCACATGTGCTCTTGTCTGTTTTGCCAGTGAAAGCTCCTCTGATTGAGGAGGTAGTGTCCTTTTTATTCTGGTAGGGTTGAAGTGCACACAAATTAGTATCCAGCTTGAATAAATTACTTTTAAATACATGTTTGTCAGTATAAAGCCTGATAATGTTCAGCCCATTCTTAGTCAACATTTTAGTTCATTGGAAAACAAAATAAAGGGAGAAAATCTGAGAATGAAGATTTGTGGAAAATGCTCTTGAAATAGGGAGTGACTGCATTGTCAATTTGATATTTCAGACTGGTGTGTGATTTCAATGTAGTGACCATCTCAGTTCCATCCGCAGAATGAATGCTGATACCGTTAAATCGAAGATGTTGAGTTACTTGTCATCCTGATTTCAGTGGAAAATTATGTTGTTATGACTTGCCATTTTTAAGATCAAGCACCATAAATCCATCTTAATTGCTGATTATTCATTTAATTGAAACATTCAATATCACCCAGATACCTGGCTGTGCTGCTCTCAGCTAACTCCATTGTACTGGGAATATTAATACTCTCGCATGCCTCAGCTTTTGCATCTTTTGTGTAACTTCTGAATTCCTCCTTTTAGGGCTATATCAGTGTAAATGAAATTAATGAGCCATGTGGCAATTCCACGAATCTGTCCCCTTCCACTCAGTTCCCTGCTGATGCTGATGCTGGTGCTGATGTCACTGAGCCTGCCACGGCTGTGCCGGTGAGCCAGCCACGGAGCAAAGAGGTGTGTTGGCATGACATTTCCTTACTTCACCGCTTCTCCTCATGTCAAACATTAACCCACAGTTCACTGGAATTGTGCATCGCGAGAATGTGTGGGCAAATATGTGTCTGTTTATCCAAGGACTAAAGTGATGATGTTGATAAGTCATCCCAGTTTGGGGGTCCTGCTCTACTCATGAAAATACTGGAAACTGTGATATAGATGGTAGAATGGAGAACTGGAGAAGGAAATTCAAAGAAATAAGCTGATCTCTTAGTACTGTAACCTGGCCTGGAATCCTTGTTTGAATCATCTTTCCAACTTAACTTTGCTTTATATTTTGTTTTACAAACTGGGTTTCTTAAAATGTTGTGTCTTTCAGGAGAGGGACCAATAATAGCAAATTAAAATGCCTCCTACTAGAGATCCTTGTTGCTTGCAGTGTGGGATCCTCACAAGTACTAAATCAAAGATTGAGGCCATCATTTGTGATTTCTTGATTAGATAATGACAAAGCATAACCATTTAATCAGTGTTATTCCTTTGTTTTATCCTTTCATTTCTATTGAACACACACACCTTTTCTTTCTCCTCCAAAGCAAAGATCTGCTGTCTGTTCTGGATTTGTGTTTCCTTCCACCCTTTCTGCTCATCCTGTCCCTGAGCCTTCATCAGACCCTTGGCCTGAAGTCATGACTACATCTGTCAGTCCTTTCCCTTTAAATGACACACCTCCTCCTCTACCAGCTAAGAAACACCGAAGGCAACCACCCCAAGAGCAACAGGTAATGAAACCGGTGTGTAGAGTCTAGGAATTTCACCTTGACCGTAAAGGTGTTTAAATGTGGTATATTGCCTTCAGATTTTCCAAAGGTGTCTTTTTAAAAAAGCACGTGACATATCCCTTCTTCCCCCCCGCCTTTTTTTTCTTTGCTGAAGACACTTAGTATGTTTGAAGAATGTGGAATGGTTATAAAGTTTTGACAGGCTTCAATTACCTTTTTCCTGGATTTTCATGTGTTTGAGTAAGAATCACATCCTCCTGTTACAGTTCTCATTTTGATATATCTCAGGCATTTCTCAAAACATTAATCAGAATTTTCAAAAATTCTACAGCATAAAAAGTTGCCATGTCAACACCAAATCTTTTTATCACTTTAGTTAAGCCATGATAATAGACATCATTCCTTTGCTTTGTGTCAAAATTTGCTAAGCATTTTTCAAATACCCATTTTGATCCTTTTAATAATCTTATGAAATAAGAATTGTCTCATTCCTAAAGTTTAGGGAGCTGAGGCTCAGTAGCGAAGTAACTTGTCTGAGGTCACACCATAAGCAATACATTTGGCCACTAAGATTACTGCTTTTTATTGATCAGACTTTTAAATAAGTAATTCATCACCCTGAATTCCATCCTCCTTTCAGCACACTCAGTGCATATTAATGCTTATGTATTCAACAAAGTCTGTTTAAATTCTTCTTACAAGTAACTCACATTCCTGCAGGAAATGGGCCCATAAGGTCCCAAGGAAACATGTTCAAGACGCTGTCAAAGTAGGTGAGTCCTGGTTTGTTATGCCAGGCCTTCCAAGGCAGCTTCACTACCTGTACGTTCTGTTTATCAGTTTCTGGTTGCTGCCATCTCAGGAGATATAAAAAAGAATTGGTGAAGGTGCTCTATACAAAGGAGGGGTAGGAGACCTTAAGAACCACATACCTCCCGTCTGATGTTAAGTTAATTCTTTAACAGCTTCAACCAGGGCAAAACAAAACAACAACAACAAAAACCTCCAACAGCAAAATAATCACAATTTTTATGCCGATTGTTTTCTGCCAAATCTAATTAGATTGGGGCTCTTTTTCACTTTCCCATTTTATTGAACTGCCATTAGGAAATATTTGGAAGCTTTAGATTTCAGAATTTGTGAATTTGGTCACAGTGGGAGCGAAAGTGTTCTAATGCCATTTTTCAAAGTAAAATGAAGCTTCTTCGGCAGCCAGCCCTCAAAGGTCATTATCATCATGGTGTGAACTCTGTGGCTGACAGTTCCAGCTCTGCCCCTTTCTGGGTGCAGGACTTTTGGAATGCTTCTCTAACTCCTTCTGTTCTCAAGAATTCATTTGTAAAATAGGGATAGTAATAGCACCTACCCCACAGGATTAATGCAATAATTGAATAAGATCATATTATAGAGCATTATACCCAGCATGCGGAAAATTCCTAATATCCATTAACTAGTATAAATAGATGATCATAAAGTTAAGATGCAGAATTTTTCATAATTTGTACATTTCAAGACATAATTGGTATATATTCAATGTATAAGTATTAATTCAAAATTGCATTAATTGTATATTTTCAGAAGTCTGAGGTTAGTATTGATATGATAAAACCTGAAGAATTTTTCATTCATTTTATAATTTTAGTTTTATGTCATTGAATGTTTGCTATTGAAGACAGTTTAGGGGAAAGCGAAGAAAAATTTGGGTAGGTTGGCAAAAATCCTGCCTTAGAAATCTGAAACAGAAATTGACATGATAATCTGAGGGATTTTTTTAAATTTCAGAGAAGAATGCAGAGGCCCCTTGGCCAAACTCTTTTTTAAATGAACAAGTAACCTAAAAGAATGCCATTTATGGATACTTCGGATGGATTTGGGTTGTGTTGATGTGACTGAAATGGTATTGCTACTTTCTAGCAACTTCATTGTCTTATCCACCTCATTCTGGGATCTGTACAATAAACAGAAATGCCTAGACAGACCAAGAGAAACTGCACACTTGTTCCTTGCCTGGTCCACTGTCCACATGGTGACCTTCCTAAGAATTTTACATTCTCAGGCATCAAGGCACTAAGCAGTACAGAAGTGAAAGGTGGATTTTTTTTTCCCTAAAATTTTCTAGGTTCAATAAGCTATTTCAGTCTATCTGGCTAGCCCAAATCTGTTAGTGAACACAAGGAGAAGTTGAATATGTTTTTTTTTAATTCAGTGCTAAAATTTCCAAAACATCTTTATAAATGCATAATTCTTCATTTCTTCAGTGGTCTATTGCAGTTAGTCAAGTTTTGCTATCTTACTTTACGTTTGCATTTAAAGCACTTTAGAAGTCTGGAAGAAAGGAAAAAACAGCATAAAGAAGTCCTCTATTTGAGTGATACTTTGCCTCGAAAGAAAACCACACCTTCCATCTCCCCACATTTCAGCAGTGCTACCATGGGGAGAAGCAGCACCCCAAAGGTAGGACCTGGGCAGAGTCACCAACCTGACTTCCCCTGCATCATCTTGTCATCAAACTGATCAGCCTGCAAAGACCGTTAAGAAAAAGCGCTAAATACTAAACCCATTACATTTGCATGTTAGGTAGACGTCATGACTAAATTGCATTTCCTATTCCATTCAGATTTAACTTTGAATTCTTCACTGTGGCAACGAAAGAACATCATGGTTCATGGTCTTTTCTGTCTTCCGCAGCGTGGTGGTGGGTAGCATTCATTTATGTGGCAGGTTTCTGAGGCTGTATCCCAGATATAGAAATAAAGCAGAATGTAGACTCTGGATTCCAGGAATTCGAGCAACGATTGAGTCACCTCTGTGTGATTGACATGGGGCACAGTCATTTGTGTGGATCCTGTCATTAATTGAAAGCCCAGCAGTACTGTGCGATGGAGGTACTGATCATTATCCCAGTTGTATATGTGAATAAACCAAGCCTTAATGAAAGTAAGTGACTCATCTACAAACCTTGAGTCTGAACTTGGTGAGGATGGAGTGTGAATCCACGTGGTCTGATGCTTGTGCCCTCTCCTCTTCTGCTGATGTGCCCCAGGGGTCTCTGAGGAAACAGGAAGAGGCCAATGAGGAGGCTCTGATGAGTCCTTTCCCTGCCTTTAATCAAAGTAATATGTCTTAATGTGTTTCATAAAGTGGTGTTTAAAGTAAATTTTATGTACACAAAGGATTTTTACTTAAAATGAATGCTAAACCCACTGCGATATTCACGGATGTGTCCAGTTGGCAGTCGAGCAGATGACGGGGTGGATGGGGAAGAATACATTTGGAGCAGGTGTAGACCTTCCCTGTCCTTTGGCATGGTATGCATGCGTTCCTGTCCCTGCATCTGCCTTCTGCTCTTCATGCATGAAGAACCTGCAGTCACTCTCATAGAGAATTTTGGAGAGCATCTTTCCCGGCTAACTTCATGGCTAGAATTGCTGCCTCTGGAAGAAGTGCTGTGATGTTAAGATTCCCGTGGGACTTCTTGGGAGGCACAGTGACTGGCTTTTTGCCATTTAACATTAACAAATTATACAACAATATCTAGCCTTCCTATCCTCTGCACTTAGATAGGCGCTGTGAAAACAGGGCTGTGGTCGTTTCCTGAAGGACCCTTCAGCCTGCAGTTTGCCTGAAATCTTCCCTCATGGTTCTCACAGGCTCATTTGCCACTGGGACAGAGCAATAGCTGCGGCAGTGTGCTTCCCCACTCACTGGCTACCATGACCAAAGACTCTGAATCGAGAAGGATGCTCAGAGGTATGTACCTGTTAAAGCCAATGGCATGAAACTTCTCAGGGAGAGGGAGTGAAAATGGAGTTGGGGATAGTTAGAGAAGTCATTAGCCAGAGTTCTAAATTTTAATTTTACTCTTGTTGTACTCTTAATCTCCTTTGGAATGAAATATGTGCATAGACCACCTGATGATTCCACCAGGGTTACCTTTTTGTATTTACAAATGTAGCCAGTGCATTTAATATTTGCCCATTATTAACTTTATAAATTATGATGGAACTCTCAAACCCAGAAAGGCACTGAGAGAGTTACTCCTGATCAGTAGAAAGAAAAAAAAAGACCACTAGCTCAGGGAGATTGCCAGGGTACTTGACCGACCAGAAACACGTGGATGTGACTGAGCCATGAGCTTGAGTGAATTTCATGTTGAAGAGTCCTTGAGCTGAGCTGTTAATGTTACAAGTATTCCAGAACAGAATTCCTCTAAGACTTTTAGTATAGATTTCAGTTTTTAATACTGGAGAGTTTCAGGTAGATTTAGACTCTGCATATTTTCTTTATAATCATATTTTATATTTATAATGGGAGTTCAGCTTTCATGGAGCTAGGAAAATAATTATAATGTCGTTTCAGAGATGAGCTTTTTTATTGAAAGGAATCAATGTTAATAAGTATTATCACAGTAGTTTAGAAATTAATTGACCCTAACTTTTGAGCAGACTAAATAACAAGAATGCAAATGAATGACATACTCCTTGCTATGGAAATGCTCATAGTCACATTAGTAGATTTCCATAAAATGTAGGAAATGCGATAATAAGGGTGTGCCGAAGGGCATCAGATGAAAATGCTGATGGAGGTTTTAGCCTTAAGATACATCCACACATTTTTAAGACTAAAGTACTTTCCTGTAAGCAGCTAGAATTCTACTGTGACTCTCTGAGCTCTCGGCTAATGATGCTGGAATAATAACTGATTTCCCCTAGAAGAAACAAAATACGCATACCTGCACATACATACACATACTTTGTGTAATTTATAATGTGCATGCGTATGGTAATATATCACTTGAACAAGATTTTCAACTCCTGATTAGAAGTGATTTAAGTGTTAGCAGAGTCTACAGTATTGATGAAAAATTATTAAAATATGTGAGTTTATACTAATAATATTTCAATATTATGTTGAATATTTCAATCAGATACATTTAACTTCTCTCTTGTTTTCTTTGCCATAATTTCTTAAATTAGGGCAAAAATATCTCAATATATACAAATAATGAACATCAATCTTTATTTTTTTTGACTTTTAAGTATCACTGTTAACATGTAGGTCAAGTCTATTTTCGATGAAAGTATTTTTGTCTAATATAGACTTCCTCTAAAATGTATTTTTCCCACACCAAAGCTTTGATGAGCCACAACAGCAACAAAAAATGTTCAGGATATTGATGTGCTTTCTGTATTACAGCACTAGAGCACTTCATGAAGAGGGTAGATCATTTGTGATAATACCTGGGGACTTCCAAAAGTTTATGGGAAGAAAATGAAATGTATGTTTATTTTGGTGCAAAACAAATTTGGAATCTATGCATACAAAGGATCTTCAGAAAGTTCATGCAAACCTTATATTATAAAAGATATACATTCTTTACCCTTCACACCCTAATCAAATATGTAAAAATTACCAAAAATAAAATGTATACAATTAAAATATATCAGTTTAATATTTTTACTCCAAAATTGTTATCTGTTAACTCATTTTCTCTTTGAACTTTTTAAAGTCATCTCATCTTGTGTGTTGAAGATATTTTGAGATTTTAAAATAGAACTAAAGCTTTCTAAAAAAAAATGAATGTAACACTTAAGAGTTATTAACATCACATAGGAGATTCTTAATTTCTGTTTTCCCTTAAAATTATGGAAATCCATATGCTAATTTTATAGAAGAAAATTGTACCAATGCCCTTAGACCATGTAATGGACATACCTGCTGCAAAATTGTTTGATTTATCTTTTATGTTCCTATTTTTGCCTGGTGTATCTTTTATGCGCGTGAGAATGCTGCAACTTCAGGCCTTCTGTGCAGCAGCTCTGCTGGGATGGTCCCCTTCAGAGTCTCACATGGCGCTGCTGGGTAGTTTCTGGCATGTCGGACTACCAAAAGCACGTGTTGGTTCATGTGAAACCAGCTTGCCGCCTTTGGCTGCCACTCCAGAGAGGGAATACCCAGGAACTGTGGTTTGTAGAGCCACATCTTGCCTAAAGAGACCATAAAGGTAGCCCACAAACAACAAGAGGACTGCAGCATAACCTCATTCACAATTGCCTCCTGTTTACTGCTAGGCATCATTAAAGTACCAACTGCAAGTAAAATTTCACGGTTGGTTTGGTTTGTTTTTTGGTTTTTTTTAATTATACCTAGTACATTTTCAACAACTCAATTTAGTAGACTTTATTATTTTACAAATTCACATGGATTAACTTAAATACACCATTTTTTTGCTGCTATTCATAATGGATGCATCGAGGATGATGGTGTAAGTATAAACCTGCCCTAGTCAGTACTGTTTTCATGGAGGAGACTTTGTAAGTCATGCAAAGAACCTTCAAGCTGAGGAACTACTGAACTTGCTATAGTTGTTGGCTTTTGTCCAGCTTGTGAACTGCTCTTTGTAAGCTCTAGGATGAATGAAATCTTTGTCCTTTTGTTTTTTGTTAAATGCAGGAAAGTCCAAGAAAGGTATGACAACCTCCTTGTGTGGTGTTTTTGTTCCCAGTAAATATTGAAAGGTCATTATCAAGTCATCCTTAAGAAATGGTCTGATGTAAAACTGTACAACGGTGTTTTATTGTGTAAATTCTTTTTGCACCATAAATTCTTTGAGGAAAAAATCTTACATATTTACAAGAAACACAAGGCTGGGTGCAACTGCTGTTCATTCATAACCGGCTGCCTGACCTGCTTTGTTTCAGCTGTATTATCACAAGGTCAGATCATGCAGGAAACATGAGTGCTGTGGAAGCATTGTTTTGTAAGACTTGGGATTCAGATAACAAGAAGGGTGGGTGTTGTGTAGACAGGCTAAGTGTAAAACATGGCATTTCTTTTTTTTGAAAGCCTAGATAGAAGTAAAGCAGGCTACACTGGAGGGGATTGAAGGATTTTAGGAACTCCTATGCATCCTTTCCATTTAAGCCTATTTTGTAAGAAAGAAAAAGCTGATGAGCAGTTTGAATGGCTGGTTTGAGTGAGTAAGATGGTTAGTTCTATGGACAAGTGCTAAAGATTTAGGATGTTAGGGTTTGTAAGGTGTTAATAATGCCTAATAGACCGTTTCAAGTGTTTCAGATCATTAAATTGCATTTTATAAAGCTTAGCTCTTTAAAATTGTGCTACTGTCTGTTATAAAGAATTGTGTAGACATATATATTCCTGTTTTATTTTTCCTACTTTCTGATTGGAAAGTAAATGTGAAAGCTTTATCTATCTATCTATCTATACACACACACACATATATATGTATTGACTAATTGCATGTCTCAAGAGTTTCTTACATTTTGGATTTTTCTTTGTAAACTGAGGTTTAATCTAGAAATGTGAACATCATACTTGTTAAGCTGGCATGGTGACTAACACCACCAATGACTGCATGCTGGAGTGCTGACTGTTTTCCATGTCTCCCTGTCACCCTTTTGATCTTGTATCTTTTTCCCTTTCTCCATCTTTCTCTTCCTTCATTCCTGACTTGTCCTTCTCCTTTCCGCTGTGGATGTCAATAGGAAGAATGAATTCCTCAGGTGAGCTCCAAGAGACTGAATTGTCAGAAAATCTGTGTAGTTTTATTCTCCGAACCAAAGTCGGGGTTTGAAATCATCTCATTTTCCATGTGAAGACCCTGATAACTATATGAAAAAGTATAGCACACGTTTGGAATATATTAGCAAAATTCTGTATACCCCACAATGATCAACTCACGAAGGACTTTTGAGGGTGAGCTTGCTTGAATTCATAGAGACCGGCATTAGAATTGCTTATTGTAATATGTGGGCGTTGCACTTGCAATCTGTTGGCTGTCCTGAACAATGAAACTGGCTGGTTTCCTGTTCATTGCTTGTCTGTGCTGTGGTTGGAGACAAGCCTCTGCCGCAGGTATCAGTTCTTGCTATCTAAACCTTATTAACCTGCTCTTCAGACAGCTGTGTTTGTATGGCTAGGAAAAATTTCCAGCTCTTCCTAGGCACTTTTTTTTTTTTTAACAATTTAGTGGCTTTCTCTCTGCTGTTATTCTTGCTATATAATTTTAAAAACAACAACAACAAAACCCAAATAGTCCCAGCCAAGAGGAAGGCCTCATTTTTCCCTCTCCAGTTCCTTGACTCAGCCCCAAAACGTAGATGCATTCCACTGCCTTATTTAGCCACTAACCTAGTTGGAATTTGCTGATGAAAAACGCGTTGATTTAATGACTACTTTGTGACAGTCACATGCTAAATAAATAAGTTCCTATGGTGAAAAGGACCTCCTTGCCATTTTCCCTGATTTAGCTGACTCCTGAGGCAATGCACAAAAGCTGTCCCAGGACCCATCACCTGCTAAGCTACCCTCCTTCAAGCCCCTGCTTTCCCATGATTTTTTCCCAAATCAAAATACCCACACCTTGTGATAGCCTGGCCAGAGCCTGGATGCCAAGCCTGTTCGTCAGAGTCGTACTGGTATACAATTCCATGTTCACAGGAGTGAGGTCAGTGCTCTTATCCGCCACTGCAAGGGTAACTAGTTTTAAGATCATATTTAGCAGGGAAGAGATAAAACCAGGCAATAGTGAAGGTCGTTGTGATCGGAACCGAGTTACCAGTCATCAGCAGATACAAGTATTTCCCCGAGATGGGAGTCCACTGACACTGGTTCCTAGGCAAGGAAACTCCTGTAGCACAAAAGCCATGCTCACTTTTTGCAGACTTTGCCATTCACGAAAATCAGAAATAAAGTCAGACCTCCACATGCAGTTACTCTGGGATTTGTTTTTCATACAGCAATGATTTCCATGGAATTGGAGCCAACGTGAGAGTAATTGATGTCACAAGCCTTTAATGAAATCATGGGAAATGTACATGTGTGTTCATTTCAAATAATTTGTTTTTTTGTCTTTCTCCTTTCATAATGAAAAATTGGAAACAATTTAAAAGGAGCAATTACTAATTCCAAAAGTTCAAGTATCAAAGGTAAATATTTAAGCAATAAATTTTTTTTATTATGTTACACTCTTTTAACATTTACCATATTTGAATTATTTTTGCCTTTTGTGAAAATAAAGGAAGGCACCATTCCCCAGTCATAGATGCAGTGGCTTCACTGAATGCTTTATGCATTCGTCGCCATGATGGATGAGACTGGAACTGACCTCCTGGCATGCGTTTAGGTTTTGCATTCTCCCTTAGCTGAATGATATGTGGCGATTAAATACATATGTTTTTGTAATTTGTAATGACGGATTATATTCAGAAAATGTGTTTTCTTAGAAAATACTAATCCAAAACTGTGTATTTTTCACTTACCTATCTAAAATTGCTCCATATACCAAATGGCATGGAAACTGCATGGAACTAAAATCATTTTGTGGAAACTTTTGGCACGTATCATTTTGTTAGAGCATCATGGATGTGGCTTCTGTTGCTGACTGGAAGTGTTTAATCAACAGCTGAAGCAGCAGTTTGAAGTTAGTTCCCTTCTTTTGTCCTCTGGCCCATTTCTTGGCCATTTCACTAATTAAAAAACTCCTTGAAAGGTAGACAGAACACAAGGAAAGAGTCTAAATTCAAGCTATCCAATTGTGGAGTCTTAATGGCTGTGGTTAACAGCTCCCAGGGTAATGGAAGCTATTCAAGTAGTCTTTTATTACAAAGAAAGAGATTACAAAGTATAGGGGAAAGTTTTGTAATGAATTGAGGGATTTGTTTATCAGTGTGTCCCCCACCTCTTAAGAGTGTAATAGAGAACTGAAGAGAATTTGGTGTGTAATGCTTGACTGGCTGCCAGAGTTCAGGCCGTAAGAGCAGTGGAGGTCAGCAACTTGACAAACCATCTGTTCAAGTACCAGGGTAGAGACAAAAGGTTCCCTCTTACTTTTGGTGCTTCTGGTCATTTTGATGGCTGCATTTTCAAGTAATTATGACCAGAAAGCTAAAAATTAGTAAGATGGAAAAAGAGAGTGTTATACATTTGAGAGGAATACAACAATTAGGAAGATTGTAGACCTAAAGAAAGAAAGAAATTTTTTGTTCTGGTTCACTCCCCTATTCCTGCAATTGCCAAGACTGGACCAAGCCTAACCAAGGAGGAAGGAACTCCACCCAAGCCTCCAATCATGGTGGCAGATACTCAAAACACTTTAGCTGTCATTTCCTACCTCCAGGAAACATTAGCATGACGTTGTATTGGAGGCAGAGTAGCCTGGAATTGAACTGAGACTTTTAAAATGAGATGTGGGGTCCCAGGTGGTGGCTTAGTTCAGGGTGCCATAGATCCTGCTTGACCCTGATTATCTAAGTGAGTAATCATCAGATAAAAGAAACTGTAAAAGAGAGAGCAAGAAAGGGAAATGTACCAGTTTGACTTCTAACCAGATCAGAAATTATTGGACATGATCTGAGATTCAAGCTTCTCACGTCCTACCTATAAGAACCACCTGCTGTTGTGAGACCAGAATGAACACCATTAAATAAGTGACTTACCTGTAATGCTAGCTATATTGCTATCACAATGGGCATTGTCTTGCCCTCATTTAAAGACAGCTATTTTTAGAGGACTTGGATCTTCAATAGTGCTGTGTTTTTTTTTTCCCATGGTTTATACATTTCTCTTTAACTTTTTCTATTTTTTTAATTATATTTTTTACAATCTTTACATAGTTAATTAGGGTGAAAAGGTTCAAGGGCTACAGGAAAGTGGGTAAGACTATTATTTCCATATTGTTTCCTTTATGTATCTGAGGTAAAGGGGGATATTAAGGGAGAAGCCCCCACCCAGTCTCCCACCCACCCCAGGTCCCTGATGTGGGGCATGCTCCGAGGGTCTTGCTCAAGTAGTTTTGATAGTTCAGCAGTTATGAATTGCTGCCAATCTCCCCACTCCAAGCCAATAGTGCTGCCTTACTGTGCTTTTGGTCTGTGTGTTTTGAAATACCATTCTCCATTGGGCTGAGGCAGAGGAATGGCACAGGAAAGTGTCAAGTGATCCTGCTGACAATTAAGATCACTCGCAAGACGCTTTCTTTGAAACTCGCGCTAGCATGGAGCGTGATGCCGTTTCTTTGATCTTCATAGCTTCAAAACAAATTAGAGCAAGGGCAAATTTCATGCACACATGTTTCTGGTTGCTGGTTTGAGTTCGTAGACTTACAAGATTCTAAGGCTAAAAAATAAAGTGTACTAACGTACTTATGGCCCTTGCCTTAGGTTATAATCACCAACAGATGAGCGAAGGGCAAAGGCAGAAACCCTCTGAATTTTACAGCCGCACAGCATCTGAGTCAAATGTCTACCTGAACAGCTTCCATTACCCAGATCACAGCTACAAGGACCAAGCCTTTGATACCTTGAGCCTGGACAGCTCAGACAGCATGGAGACAAGCATCTCTGCCTGTTCACCTGACAACATTTCAAGGTAAGATTACTTATCTCTAAGGCTTTGGGTTTGGAAAAGTGCTTGTTCGCTTAAACTAAAGTCATCAATTTGCAGTGTTGTAAATGTGCAAGCCCAGATTTTTGAGACGTACTGAGTCTGCAATGTTCATGAGAATTGGATGCCATGACCTTTGCCTTAGGTGACTTATCCAGTTAGATATTCCATTCTCCATCATCCCCCCCTGCCCTCTCTCTTTACCCTTGAGTCAATGTCTTACAATACTTTGAAACTGATTTGCCTCTGCTGGAGGACTCACGGCTTCATTCACACTGGTTTTGATTAAAGAAACACTTTCCTTTCGTGGAGTCAGAATTTTGAAGGATTTCTTCTGTGGTTTGTTAAAAGGAAAGATACAGCTATTTTGTCTATTAAACTTCTGGCAGGGATTTAGTCATTTATATTTCTATTCATCCTTTGAGGCAAGTCAAGGTGGTCTTATGGATTGGAGCCACCAGCAAATCTAACACATAATTCTGATCATGGAATTCCTTCTCTTCTGAAGCTTTGTTTATGCTTCACTACCTGCCTTATAAAGTCAGATGCTAGGTTTGGTCTTATAGATCTCAACCAATTCCTCATTCATTCTCTTTCCTGGCACACCTCAGAGTTCTTATTGAGAAGTATTCTCAGATCTCTGCCTTTGAACTTACTGTTTTTCCAAAGGATGGTCTGGGTTAGTAAGTTAGTAATGGGGATAACAATGATAGGCATTCTTGTAGGTGGTACTTAGAACATTGTTCCTGAAGCAAGCCAGCAATTTGAGAAGGATGAAGATGTTATGCAGGACCCATTCTTGATGGCTTATTTCTGATATTTATATTTATTTACAATGTAAACAATGATGCTGAAAAAGCAAAAACATTGTCTGACTCAAGTGAACTTTTTGGTAATCAGAAAAATGATTCCTCAGCAAAAACCAAAGGGCAATGTACCCACAATATTGAGTAATTCTATAATGTTACAAGTGGCTTCTATTGAGAATAAACCACAAACCATGTCTATGTCACTCTAATTTCAGCATGGAATTACCTCCTTAATATAAACTTATAATTTGAGGGCATTTTAATACATGATTCTTAAAAATCTTAAGCACAGCAAATTTTTTAGTCCTTCAGTATTTTATACCCATCTTCAAAAAGTTCTCAAGAATGTTTTGTAATAATACGCATTCAAAAACTTAGTTACTTCTTAGTGATTTTCCCCATGTTATATAGTATGATTTTCTTTTATAATTATGGTTAAGAGTCAATCTGAGAGTCACACAAATTTCTTTTAACTTTTCAATCCCAAGGTTTTTATTCTGTGAATATTTCAACAGAATGATATTTATTTCAAAGTTACCATAAGTGATATATATGTATTGCTCACCATAAATCATTATGAGGGTCTGGTATGTACTGTGGGACGCAACTGGGAGGTTTGACTGAATTATTAAGAGAAGGACCTGTTTTCTCCCTCTAGCCTATACTCAGCCTTTTAGAGGCATCTTCTACTTTGATTTTTTTGGGGGGGAGGGGGAAGCATTCAAAGGATTTGCTAGCACAATGAGCTGAATACAATAAATCATTTCTGACCGTGGTCACTGGTCATTTTCAATTGCAGCTCGGTGTGATGAAACACTCTACAGTGAGCATGGCCATGTGCAACTGCTTGCCAGGAATTCTCATTCTGCAGTAATGCTGTCATGAGAATTAAAGGACACATGTGCTTCATCACACACAAATACACAGAAATGTAACTGTGTGAGGTGACAGGGATATTAATTAGTGTGATTATGTAGTGATATATTATGAAGATTATTAGTATTATTAGTATTATATGTATGTATATATAGTATTATATATATATCAAAACAACATTGTATACCATAGATATTATTGTAGCTTTTATTTGTCACCATCAATAAAGCTGAGGGTGGAAAAATAGAATGAAATAAATAAATATTAAATTAAAGGTAAATATTAAAATCTAAACAAATGTGGGGCCAGGTGTTATGGCATGTAGGTTAAACTACCTCTGGGGATGCTCCCACCCTGTATTGCAGTGCTTGGGTTCAAATCTTGCCTCCACTTTCGTTCCAGCTTCCTGTTACTGGGTGCCGTGGGAGGCAGCACAGGATGGGTCAGGTACTTGGATCCTTATCTACATAGAGACCTAGATGGAGTTCCGGATTCCTGGCTTCAGCCGGGCCTCAGCCCTTGGGGGGTAAATGATAACATAAATAACATCGGGCTTTTCATGATTGAAACATCAGAGTAGACAAGCCTTGACCTAGACCACATCCCCCTTTTTCAGAATGATCATATAAAATGTAAACAAGTATAAAAACGGAAGCTTTTCCATTTGACATTCCCAATTCTTCTCTTTCTATTTCTGTTATTCCAACTGTTCTTACAGGCTCCACTGCTTGACATATACCCTTCATTTGTTCTGGGGATGGGTTTCCACAGTTGCATTTGTTTTGAAGTCCTGGATTCCGTTTGTACACTTTCCACATTAGTATGTCACATAGGTACTCTTCACAAAATTGGCTACCACGTATCTATTGTACCTGTAGAATAACTTTTTAATTGGTATTATCATTCAAGAAATAAAACACCTTCATATGTGAAGGTACAACAAAAGACCAACAGTGATGTATACTCCCCAACTGAATAAACCCTTCTCTGTTCATCAAAACCTCAGCGTGCTATCATGTAGAACCTTGGTGACAGTTGCGTTGGTTTGACGTCTCCCAGTCAGTAAACCATAGGGAAGAACTCCCACCAGCCATCATTTTTAGACTTGCAAGGAAGCATTTTGAAGTCACACCTTGTCAAATCTGGCTTTGGACTTACCCTGTAGTTTACCCTGGCACCGTTTTACTTGCCTATTTCTTGTCTCCTAAACTGAGGTAAGTCAATTTCATCTGCAATTTTCACAGTTTAATTGGTTTGCCTCTTCAGACCAGCGACTTGTAAGTAACATACGTTAAACTTCACATGCTTGAATTTGTCATGTACCTCCCTGACCGTGTGTTGGAAAATGTTGAAACTCTGAACTAATAATCTTAAAAGGCTTTTCTGTTTCATTCAGTGCCAGCACTTCAAACATTGCCAGAATAGAAGAAATGGAGAGATTGCTGAAGCAGGCTCACGCAGAAAAGACAAGGCTGCTGGAATCCAGGGTGAGCTTGCTGTCTTTATGCCAGAGCCAGACACCTGATTCCAAGAGACTCCCCCTTAAAGAACTTGAATAAGTGGTGTGATCCTGGAGTGGTCAGTCTTGCACAGCCTCATTTGGTTACCTGAAAATTCAGCCAGGGTTTTGGGGCTCTGGACTACATTGCAACTTCCAGTGACTTGAAATGCATACATAGTGTTGTGTCAGGCTGAACTGTGTGCTCTGCCAGCGCACAGGGGGGATTGCGTGTCTGTGCATTCGCCCTTCCTTCCCAGTTCGTGCTAACCGCGCTATTGTAACATGAAAAAAATCCCATGTTACTGTGACTGTGTTTCAAGTCTGAATCTGGACTTCCTTAGGAATCCCCAAAATGCCTTTGTATCCTGCCCTGAGGCACCTCCTTTCCTTTTCCAACTTCCCCGTGTGCTTCCTCCTTGAGCTTCAGCCAGGAAGTTGCAGAGCAATAACAGGAAGTGGAAGGAGCAGTAGCCTTGGTTGGAAGACAGAAGAGAGGGCTGGATCGCCTGACTAGTGCTGAGTGACAATTTGTTAAAACATGGCAGGATGTGATCATAATACGAAGTGACTGAATGGAGTCACAACCTGGATTTTTTTTCCACTTAAAACCAATGTTTAACTGTTAATTACATTTAATGGTTGCGTCTCTGCATGTGATCGTTTTGAAAGCTAAGTCGGCATATTAGTTGGAACCATTCTATATATGTAACCATTATATCTTACTAATGATATTTAGGAACGGGAAATGGAAGCCAAAAAACGAGCTCTGGAAGAAGAAAAACGACGCAGAGAACTCCTGGAAAAACGACTTCAGGAAGAAACCAGCCAGAGGCAGAAGTTAATAGAAAAGGAAGTAAAAATAAGGGAGAAACAAAGAGCACAGGTTAGTTGGTGGAGCCTAATGGACGAGAATAGGTTGCCCCCTTGTGGTCATTCTGTAGAAGACAGCCATTCTGGGTGAGGACAGCCTCTTGGGCACTGTGTGTTAACACCATGTGAGGGCTAAGGGACAGATATGAGTGTGCACCCAGAAGAATTGAGTATTTATGGGAGTTACTGTTTTCTCTAGGAATGCATAAAACATTTTGAAAGAGGGGTCGTCTTTCTTCTACCCATTCCTCGGAATATATTTAAAGGGAGAGAAATGTCTTTTCAGCTTCAAAAACTGCAGCTAAATTTTCTGCTGAAAACAAATGAAACACCCAGTGACCGGTATTGTGGCGCAGTAGGTTAAGCCCAGCGTGTGACACAGGCGATCTATAAGAACACTGGCTCGAGCCCCGTCTGTCTTGCTTGTGATCCAGCCCCCGGCTAACGCCCCTGAGAAATCACTACAAGACTGGAGTTCAGACTCCTGGCTTTGGGGTGCCCCAGTCCTGGTCTTTGACCATTTGAGAGTGAACCAGCACATGGAAGATCTTTCTCTCAACTTCTCATTACTCTGCATTTCAAATAAATATTTAAAATAAGGGGAGAAAAGCATGCAAACTAAAGCTTTTGGTTGAGGAAGGGAAAAGGCTCCCTTAAGCCATACTTTTACCAACCCAACTTCTTGGTAGATTGTTAACACAGTGAGTGGTCATCATAGAACTAAAATCTCTGTTGTGATTATGATAGCTGCTTATAAAACATCTGTTTTCTGAGAATAAAATAAAGTTTTGTTAAGGACCTGTAGTTTCAGGCACAAAACAGTCTGCCCAAGATTTACCAGACGCACACGGAAACATGTCATTTCACTATTTGTCCTGCTTTCTGGCCGTGCAGTCATGTGGTGGTTAGAGACACTTGTCGTTAAGGCTTTGTGTGCTTTGAGATGTCAGCTAAACTCAGTCATCTGTGTGCAGCTGAGTATCATAACTCGAAGGGAAAATAGTGAAACCTGTTTATGTGATTTCATCATGTGCAACCTCTGCCAGATCTTTATTTGCAAGTGAAGGTCACCCAGGCCTGTGTAGTATCTGAAGCCAAATCAGGAAGTAGAATTCTGTTTCCATCCTGATTGCAAGCCTTGCCTCCAACTACTCGAGTAGGTCACTCCCTCACTCTTTTTCCCTCACCCCACACTCCAGGGGACAAGCGGACTAGTTATTGAACAGAACAATCATTCAGAAGTACAACCGCTTTACCCTTCCTCATTAGAAGAATCTTCTCCCCTGCCAAAAGTAAAAAGTAAAGTAAATACGTCATCTTGTTGCCTGAGCCTGGGCAGCTAGCTGCTTGCACCAGGCCCACCTTGGGTTGTGCTTCATACTTCTGCCTCCAACTTCTATCAAAGTATGTTCTTATCCAGCAGGCATGGACAACTTGAGTGGGCAGGCTGACTGTGAAGGTTGCTTACTAGACACTGTCCAATCAACTATGTCAAGTCAGATTTCCTAAGGAGAGCTACTGTTATGTTGCAGCAGGGACTGCTGGAAGCTTCCCACTAAAATAATTTTCATTTGCAGGGTGCAGCTCAGTCAGCTTCCTGCCTCCTCTCCCTCAGCTTGTTGAAGCTACAATGAGTGACATTTTCCCATTCTTTCCTCTTCCCAGCTCCAGGAACGGAGCCCACAGCTCTGAGTTTGTGCACCCCGGCCCCATATTGTAGCACTCACTATTCAGACTCCAGGCCATAGGTGTTTTGATTGTCTTACGCTCCTGTCATTACACGGGCTTTGTAAAGCCCAGGCTTCACCGACAGTTCTCATTTCTAAACCCTCGTGACCTAAAACACAGTTACTTAGAGATGGATTGCATTGTGGACTCTTCCAGGCTCGTCCTCTGACACGTTATCTGCCTGTGCGGAAGGAAGACTTTGATTTGCGAAGCCACGTAGAGACTGCCGGCCACAATATCGACACCTGTTACCACGTGTCAATCACGGAGAAGACCTGCCGTGGATTCCTCATCAAAATGGGTGGGAAAATTAAAACCTGGAAAAAACGTTGGTTTGTTTTTGACCGAAACAAGCGGACGTTCTCCTACTATGCAGGTGGGTGATGAAAGACTTGAGGGAGCCCCTGTTAAACAGTAAATGCAATCAAAATGCAGCTTAGATATGCAAATAATGAAATTAGAAATTAATGACAGTATTAGCTTTGTGGTTATACATTCATTTTAAAAAAATAGGTTTATTTTACTTTTGTTGGAAAGGCAGATTTATAGAGAGAAAGAGAGACAGAAAAGCTCTTCCATCACCGGCTCATTCCCCAATTGACCGCAACAACTGGAGCTAAACCAATCCAAAACCAGGAGCTTTTCCTGGGTCTCCCTCACAGGTGCAGGGTCCCAAGACTTTGGGCCGTCCTCAACTGCTTTCCCAGGCCACAGGCTGGGAGCTGGATGGGAAGTGGAACCGTTGGGACACGAACCAGTACCCATTTTGGATCCTGGCACATTCAAGGCAAGGATTTAATCAAGAGCCATTGCACCAAACCTGGTTGTACATTCTTTTATGTTCAGATTATGTAGTCCCTATGATATTAATTTTTGCTCCAGGAATAATAAACATTGTATGTTAAAGTATGAATTAGTTTACTGTAACTCTGAAATAAATTGATGCTCTAGTAAATATTAAACAAAAATTATTTTTAGGACAAAATATTATCTTTTGAAGGGAATTTGCCTTTGATGAATTAATGTCATTCTATTTAAGTCACACACAATGAGTTACCCCTAAATGAAAAGAATAATTAACTGTAGATTATAAACCAGTAGATTCTTAAACATAGAGAGTAAAGCTTATTGATAAACTACTTATGTAAATAAAACGTATTCAAAAATTCTGTGGGAGGGCCCAGTGCGTTAGCCTAGTGGCTAAAGTTCTCGCCTTGCATGTCAAGAGCCATTCTAAGAGGAGCTGTGCCAGGATCCCGTACGGACACTGGTTCAAGTCCTGGCTGCTCTACTTCTTATCCAGCTGCCTGCTTGTGACCTGGGAAAGCAGCAGAGGATGGCCCAAAGCCTTGGGACCCTGTACCTATGTGGAAGACCCGGAGGAAGCTCCTGGCTACTGGCTTCGAATCAGCTCAACTCCAGCCATTACAGCCAATTGGGGAGTGAGCCAGCAGATAGAGGATCTTTCTGTCTCTCCTTCTTTCTGTAAATTTGCCTTTCTAATAAAAAAAAATCATTAAAAAAGAAGAAGCCCTTAAAAATGGAATTTAAAGGTAAATCTAGTGTAGTGCAAAAATTATGAAATCCGTGCAGTTTAAAAATTCATAGAAAAATTCTGCAAGGATTTCAAAATGTTTTGCATCAAGGTAAACATTCAGAATGATTTTATTTTCAATTTGCTTAAAAGTCGTGGATAATACACACAGAGAGCCCCCAGTTACTAGCAATCACTAGGACTAGCCATGCCTGGGAGCCAGGAACTCAAGTCCCCCATGTAAATGAGAGGGACCCAGGACTTGGCCATTACCTACAGCCTCCCAGAGTGAGCATGAGTAGGAAGCTTGAGCGGGGAGCACAGCCAAGGACCAACCGCAGGCACTTCTTCATGGGATACAGGCATCTCAGCAGCGATGGAATGGCTGTGCTTAATGCTCATCCCTGGGGATGATGACGGGAATGACGTCATAACTTTTCCTCTCCATTTGCCTGTAGCGAACACCCACCCCCAAAACACATTTAAATTCCGTTTGCCATACATTTCTTGATGTATTTTTATATGAAGTGACAGAAATATTGGGGGCGGGGAGAATGAAATAATGGATTGTGGGAAACAGGAGGGGAGTATGCTTATGAAGAAGCCTTCTGTTTGCTCCTGGATTATATATGAGACGTGTGCATTACTGACCCAGCAGCAGCTCTGTTCTGTTTTTAGTTCCTAAAAAGCAGTACTACCATACTAGATGCTATTAAGGAAAAAAAAAAAAAAAACACCCTGTCTTGTCTGTCTTGTACTTACAAACATCCATAGGAATTATTATGAACTGTGTCAATATAATACATATAAAATAGAGGGCGGTTATTTAGTCTGTCTTGTGAGGCGAGATTATATTTATGAAGATAGCCGTGAAAAGCCAAAACATAAGAACCGCGGGCCAGAGAACCAGAGAATTAGGGTCAGGTGGGTGAGATACACAGCGTTCAGCAAGCAGCCCTTCTTGTGGTTATCAGGTATTGCGGAAATGAGTGGGTAAGGAGCAGGTGTTTAGCCTGGTGTCCCACATTGCAGTACCTGGGCTGGATTCCTCACTGTTACCCTTGGCCTTTTGTCAGACACCAATAAGCACAGTCCCCGGGCTTCCGTGCAGGCTGAAGGCCAGCCTGAAGCAGCCACGGCACTCAAAGCTCATGTGAGGGTAATGGCCCTGCCTGTGTGAAGGGCCCCATGCCTGAGTGCCAAAATACACACAGTTCCTGTGCACTGACTTCCTCCACGCCAACTGGGAGCAGTGGGCGTGAAAGAAATCCGAGGCATAGAAAACAATTCTATGATTAGATGGACTACCTAGAGATCTGGAATGAAGGGCATCATCCCCTTGGTTTACAACACTGTCATTGACTCTTCTTGGCCTACCAGTTGGTTGTGAAGCTAATCATTCTCAGAGTTCCTCCTCACAGGAAACGCCGTGCAAACAAAAGTTTCTTCTTCTGTCTGCTTGAAAAACTGGCAAGGCTGACTTTCATGTTCACATTCTTGTTTTCAGAAAGCAGAATATTCTCATAGACCCATGATTGTTGCAGCAATTATTTTGGCAAGTGTTCAAGACCTTCTCTTTCATAGAAACGTGTAGAAATCCACTCAGTATGGTGTTAATTAAGAGTGCTTCCCACAGGAAAAAAGAAATACTAGGGCCTCAGTCAAAGAAGTTAGGAAAATAATGCCTTAAGTGTAATTAGATAGGAGGGTTTTCATATTCTCAGAGGGCCGTTACCTTATCACATGATTTTTGATTATTGTTATTGGAAAAAGGGGGACGTTTAGTAACAGATTAAAACTACAAAAAGTTGATACAATGAAAGTTAAGTCGTTTTCACATTAAAAAAGTTCTGACCTCCCGCTGTTAAGCCTCTTTTCATTTTGGTACATGCTTCATTTGGTGCATGTTTTTGGTACCTTGTTCTTTTGTACAGCTGAGACCAAATTATCCCTCTGCTCATACACTAATTCACATAAGAGCAGTATTTCCAAGGTATTTTTCTTATGAGCATTTAACCGAATGATCTCAGCCCTTTGAGCGGCTGTGTAAACTCCACCATATTTCGGGCGTGTAATTAAATCAATTCTTCGTTAAAGCTCAGGCAGACCTCCGGCAGCCTTGAGCCATCACATGTGCACATCAGCACAAGCAGGAGTAGATCTTTATGCAGTGCAATGTAATGGTAGTCTCACTTCTCCATCCACAGTGATAAAGTATTTTAATGCTCAACTATCTTTACAGACAAGCATGAAGCTAAACTAAAAGGAGTAATATACTTTCAAGCCATTGAAGAGGTGTATTATGACCACCTTAAGAATGCTAATAAGGTAACCACATCCATTTTCCAAATTCCTAAATCTCAGTGCAAATTTAAGAAGATTATCTTTGGATTTAAAGTCACTTCGGGTTGTTGTTGTAGAACAATGGGTAGTTATGATCAGAATACTGCTGGAAAAATAAACATTGAGATGATGTTTTTGTCGAAGAACATTTTTAACAAAGTGAGAGAATGTTCTGTAGATACTGGTTTGGAAGACCTTGTAAAGTGATTCTAGAATGGAACCACTACGCACTTGGGGAGGAGTTAATGCTTAGCAGGACCTTCGGAGAGCCAAGAAGAAGTTACTGTTTGTGAAGTACCTACTGTCACCTAGGTGCCCTGCATTAGCTTCACAGACTAGACTGTGAGATTTGTTGTTGTTGTTCAGAAAAACCAGAAAGCTTTATAATTCTGAGAAAGGCATTGGAGAAAGGAGTTAAAAGTCGTGGTGAAGCCTGCACAAATTTCTATAAATTGGATCCTTTAAAGAGGATAAGACTGTCCCATATATTCATGTCTTTAATACTGTAACTTCAAAATGTTTGTTTTACTCTCTTTTCTTTTTCTGCATGTTAGAGTCCGAATCCATTACTTACCTTCAGTGTCAAGACACATGACAGAATCTACTACATGGTGGCCCCATCCCCAGAAGCTATGCGGATCTGGATGGATGTCATAGTTACTGGGGCAGAAGGTTACACTCACTTCCTGTTGTGAACCGAGGAAGAGTCTATTTCAGGGAACACTGCAGTAATCTTTTACAAGAAAGAAGTCATATCCAATCCCAACAGACGGACAGACCCGACAGACCATCCTTGTAGCTGAATACACTCAGAAACACAACAGACCCGTACCCCGTACTGTATATATTCAGAGCTCCTTTTATATTAATGAAAAGTCATTTAAAAAACAAAAAGGAAAGAGGGTTTTCATTCAATGATTAGTCATAAATATAAAAAAACTGAAATTTGTATGAGAAGAAAAACACCATTTCGATAAATAGCATCACTTATAGGAACCTTTTTTGTAAACTTTTTAAAAATCAATTGTTTTGGTGAAATAAACTAAATTGTTTACAGAATGTCTGTATATATGTACTTGGAAATGCAGAATTATTTTAGCACACAAATAATTGGCACTGACATGATTGGAAATAAGCTGGCTTTTTCTTTTTTTAAGTAGCATTTATAAGTATAAGCAAATAAGGGCTTGGAGGGAAATATGCTCGGGGAATTTTGCCTTTTTTTTTTAAGTCCTGCATCAAAACCAAAGATTTGGCATGAATTCTGTGTAAGAGTTAGTTTCAAGTGATGAGCCTCATTTAGTGTAATTCTGTTTAAAACCATCGAATACCCAGGAAATTGACTTTGCAAATGTGACCACAGCTTAAGTTACTGTACATATATGCTAAACCACTTTTTGTGAAAGACACAAGAACAAAAAGCTGTGCCTTTTAGAAAAGCCATCTTGGACAACAGACTGTGCTGCACTGGGCAGTCGGGACTCAGGAAGCTGTTTTGCTCAGTGTCTCCATTCATGGTTCTGAGAATAAGGCCCTCTTAATTTCTTTCCAGTTGTCCGCTTTTGTTTTGTTGTGGAGCACACTAGCTAATTACAGCCTCACATGACACAACTATGAAATCACAGTTTTATATTCACCAAAGAACAGACCAATTAAAATACTTGTAGAAGTGTAGTTAGAGAAAAAAAAAGTAAAAAATGAAATTCAGTCTAACATTGTCTGAAATGTACTATTTTATTACCTATTTCTGCTCAATTCACCTTTGTTTTTTAGAGTTAAATTAATTTTTGTTGAACGAAATGACTTCGGGCAAGTCTGTTTTATAAATAGTTTTTCAAATGCATTTATTTTAGTTTTGATGTTTGGGTATTTTAAGTATGAATGTATTCTTTCTTAGATAAATAACTAGAAATAGCAAATAATGGCATTACGTTATTAGTACAAGGTGAAATTATAGAAATGTCTCTTTATAAAACTTTATCCAGCCTAATATGGGTACATTTTTAAAAATTTGCAATGTAGTTGGTATAAAAGCATGCATATTGCCAATACTGAGACTTTTCAACTGGATGGCACAAGATTGTACTTGAACAATGATGAGGGAAAATATTGATTTTTGAACACATTTATTAAATATAATCTTGCAATCACCGTCAATTTTGGTAAAGGTCTAAAATAAGAAAATGCAATTGCAAAGGTATTGCTGGTAATGTAGACACAACTCTTATGATGTACTGTATATCCTAATTAGCTTGTATGATGTAGTCAACCTTTTAATTATGTGTGCTAAGTACATTAACTTTGGATTAAAATGGTGATTCCACATTTGAAAATAAACTTTTTTGTTTGGAAATTGTCTATCATCTGATGTGGGATGGATTAATTGGCCAAAGTCAACTGTAGAATTCACAGAAGGGTTTTTAATTTAGAGTTTATAAACTGAAGTATTTAGAATTGTCATTGGGTGCATTTCTATTGCTACACAACGGGGTGAATTTTGAAAAAAACAAATTTTACATTGTTGTGTTCACACAGTTATTATAATACAAGGACTGTGTTTATCCTGCCGAAAAAGTCATCAAATGCTAGGTAAAACCTTGGGCTTTATTCTGTGAGAACTTTATCTCCCTAAACAAAGCAGATTTCAGCACCTTAACCATGTATCTTTTATTATTATTATTATTTATATTTTTATTGGCAAGTCAGATATACAGAGAGGAAGATCTTCCATCCATTGATTCAATCCCCAAGTGGCCACACAGCCAGAGCTGAGCTGATTTGAAACCAGGAGCCAGAAACCTCTTCCGTGTCTCCCACATAGGTACAGGGTCCCAAGGCTTGGGCCATCCTTGACTGCTTTCCCAGGCTACAAGCAGGGAGCTGGATGGGAAGAGGGGCCGCTGGGATTAGAACCAGTGCCCATTTGGGAACCTGGCACATGTGAAGTAAGGACTTAAAGTCACTAGGCTATTGCACTGGGCCTGTATCTTTAACTCTCTGCATGTGATGAAGCAAACTAACAGTAGGTACCCAAAGTGGAAACACATTCGCTTACTTCAATGTCATCACTGGTATGTAACTGAAGTCCAAGCATCTTCACTTATTTTAGTCACAAATTTTTCTACTTTATTGAGCAAGACAGAGACAATGATCCATGATCTCCCCAGATTTTTTGTGTAGAGCTCTCCCCACTGTATCATGTCATATTTTTTCATTTTGCTGCACATAAAATGCAAGACAAAGGGAGATAAATAACTGAGACAATATTTGTAACTTTCCAAAGATTTTATGGAGAAATGTTTCTTGTTAAGATGTAACGGATGGTGAGGCACCACTTTTGTGACTTAGAGCTATTTTAACTCTTCAGGCTTGTTAGAGAACTGGCAAATTGGTCCAGTATCCTTTGGAGTAAGTCCTGAAATCAAGTGGCTGCCTTTACTATTTGAAAGGCAATGTACCTTCTTAAAAAAAGAGACCTGTTTAATATTAATTTATCCAACTTTTTTGACACGTTTCAACAGGACAGATTCTCAAAACACCATAGACGGCTAAACTCACTATGTTCAAACTTCCCCTCTACATTGCCATCAGTCATTGCTTGTGTTTACAAGCAGAGTGTAAAGTGGTTTAAATAGAAGTATTTTACCAATTACCACCACTTAAGCAGAATACCAGATCTGGACTCGTTAATACTTGAACTTCCTAGAATTCCTTGAAAGGGTGTCAGAGCTGGAATTTCAAGCCCCTGGTAGCATAATTTATTCAATTGTCTTGCTTATTGTTCATTTTCTAAAAAATCTGCTTGCTTGCAAAACTGGCATGAATTCTTATAAACTAGTGCATTTTTTTCCTCCTACAAAGTAGTCACTAATAAGGAAGAAGGGCACTGGATAGAACTTGATGTTTTTAAGATGATGTTTTTAAGAGAAATATTTTTTGGAAAAGAAGATTTTACAGAGAGAAGAGACAAAGATCTTTCTACTTGCTGATTCACTCCCGAAATGGCTGTAATGGCCAGAGCTTAACTAGTGCAAAGCCAGGAGACAGAAGCTTCTTCAGGTCTCCCACTCTGCTTTCTCAGGCCGGAAGCTGGGACCTCGATGACAAATGGAGCAGTCACTTGAACTGGGCCCATAAGGGATACCAGCACTTGCAGGTGGAGGATCAGAGTGTTGAACCATGGCATCCACCCTGAAAACAACACATTTTAAATTGTAATAGATGTGGTAACAGTGACAAAAATTTTCAACAATTCGTATTCTCTGTAACCACATGTGACAGTTCTTAGCATTAAAATATATATATATTTATTTGAAAGGCAGATTTTACTCAGAGAAGAGATTGAGAAGGTCTTCCATCTGCTGGCTCATTCCCCAAATGGCCCCAAATGGCCCCAAATGCAGCTGATCAAATCAGAGTTCTCCAGAAGATAAGGAATGGAGCAGCCAGGATATGAACCAGTGCCCCTGATGCATAGAGCTCCACCAAGCTTCACCAATTTTACAGGTGGAAAGAAAACAGAATGCAGTAGGCTTGGTGTGATGGCTCTATTGGCTAATTGTACCCTTTCAGGCACCAGGATCTCATGTGGGGGCTGGTTCCTGCCACAGATGCTCCACACTTCCCATCCAGCTCCTTGTGGCCTGGGAAAGCAGCAGAGGATGGCCCAAAGCCTTGGGGCCCTGCACCAATGTGAAAAACCCAGAGGAAGCTCCTGGCTCCTATCAGCTCAGCTTGGCCATTGCAGCCATTCGGGAGTGAAGCAGAGAATGGAACATCTTTCTGTTTTTCCTCCTCTTTGTGAACGTGCCTTTCCAATAAAAATTTTAAAATGTCTTTTGTTTTTTAATGGCATGCATTTTTGCAATTCATATTCTTCAATGAGTGAGGCTGCAAATCCTATTTACCTAAACATTTTCCTATTCATAATTGCTGTCCCATCTATGGGATTATGAATGGTTTTTTTTCAGGATATTCCTTAATTCCTGAGGCAAACAGAATATAACTTCTTAACGTATCTATGCTGCAAAATATATCTTTTCATCCTCATTTGACAAACTGTCTTTTGCCATCAGAAAAACCTAAATTCACAAACGTTGTTATAACCTGTTGGTTTCATGTGTAGATACCAGAAATTTTTGTACTCTCAGGCTATAAAATATCTCCCAAAGGTTATTCAGAACTCTATTTCTGATTCTTCCGTTGAGTCCACTTATCTGTTGGAACTGAGTTTTGCAGATATATGAGGCAGAGCTCTAAAACAGAAACAATTTTCAAAGGCTGAGGGAACAGCCAATGTCCAATTTCACTCCAAGTATTGACACAGTGAGAGCACAGTTGGAACTTTTCAATTTTTCGACACCGGTTAAAGTCGTCAGGGGTCACAGGGACTTCAACGCCACAGCCCAGCATTTGCTTTATGTGGACTCCCTGAAACACGTTCCCCATCCTAAGCACTCGGGACACAGTTCCTCTCTGAAATTCTAGTTCTGGAACGTCCACCGGCGCGCGAGATGCGCCCTGCTCGGCCACTCGAAGAATCTTGGGCGAAGACGCCGAGCAGAACGCTCGGCCGCCTACGCATGCGCGCCCTCCGCGCGTGGGAATCGTGCCGGGCGCTTAGGGCAACTTCCGCTGACCTGCCCGTGGCGCATGCGCAGCCTCAGATCCTGTGCGTCGTGCGCGGCTGAGGACGGTGCGGCCCGCCGGGACTGCTGGGAAGATGGCGGGCTCGGGGCTTGCGGCCGTGGCGTCCTGGGTGCCCCGTCGGAGCTGGGGCTGGGCTGCCATGTCCCTTGGTCCCCACCGTGACTTCAGTACGTTACTTGCACGGAAGCCCCCGCGGGTGCCCCGGCGGCTCCCAGGTTAGTGTGCGAAAGGCGGGAGTAGGATGCCGAGCTCCCGGGTTTGTGCAGCGCGCTTTTGGCGCCTGTTTCAAAAGCTGCGTTCCCCGTGTCCGGCTCGGCCTCCTGGTGCCTCCCGGTGCCTCCCGGTGCCCCCCGGTGCCCCGAGCGGTCCCGGGGAGGCCGGGGAGGTCGGCCGGGCGCCCCGCGGCTCGCAGCGCTTGCTCCTCCTGCCTCGGCACCCGGTGCCCGCACTGGCAGCGATGAAGATGTGCATTTGATGTGGTTGAAGGTGACTTATGCACCTTAGTAA